GACATCTTGCAGGGGGACTGGCTGAGACTTGCGTTTTAACCCGTTAAAAGTGTTCTATTTAAATATGTTCTACTCGCGTAAACTACGGACCGCTACTATGTGTTTTATTGAATAACTAGTTGAGAATAAATAGAGTAACTTTAAAGCAAAATTAAACGGGTTTTATCTGACTGCCTAATATAGTCTGTGCGGTATCCAAATTAACGACGGAGTTAGGGGCTAGCTTGGCGCAAGGCGTAGTAAGCCTACTTCAAACTGCATGCTCCAAACGAGCTACGGTTACCAGCTAAATGCAAATCTTGTACATACACAGCGCACTGGAGTATTCCTGGTAATTCTCCGTTAAATGTTGAAAAATATATTGAAATTCATGAATTTGGCGTATCATTGCGTTAGACTGACTATATTTTGTTAATTTGAGGTTAAATACTGTACTTTAAATAAAACACTTTAACAGTTTAAAACGCGATATATTTGTTAAACTTATTTGAAAGTGATTTTTAACTTCGGCCAGACGTATCGGATGCCTTGCAGCAGTCGTGGTCACGGGGAGGCCGCGGCTTTAATTTGAGGTTTATAAACCATAATGTTAAGGAAAATCCTTAAAAATTTAGTAGTTACTATTTTTTTCTCTGTAGACATAGCATACAGTGAATAAGGGGTAGTAAAGGCTGTTTTTGCCCCAACAACAAGGTACTGACAATCAACTTAAATTTTTATTATTTAATGATAAAATAATTTTTTAACGTTTACACATTGCTTTTATGTTGGCAAAGAAATAATAAATTAATTCATTTTTTTCGAAAAAAAAAATAATTAAATACTGTCTGTAGTTTACGTGAGTAGTACACCTTGACAGACAGGTCGAATCATAATTAAATAAATTTGTTAATAAGTTTAACTAATTCATTTCGCGTTTAATAACGTTAAAAGTGTTTTATTTAGAAAGATAAATATGTTTTCTGACGTAACTATAAGAGAACAAACTGTTATGTAACGCGTTACACACCGTAAAGTCGTAATTCCTGTGGGAGAAGAGGGGGTAGACCATCGGTCTACTATATATAAAATAATACAATTCAAACGACAATCTATACAGAATCCAAACCTTCCAATTTGTAATACACAATAATATTCCTTACCTCACAATTTCGCCATGATAAAGTAATTTCGTCGTAATCCAGCTGAAACCGGTTGCAGGTCTATTTGTACGGAACTAATTGAGACCCCTGGGACCGCACCTGTCACGGCCCGCAAGATTTTCGACCCCAACTTATTGAATATTATAAACTTACCTCTATTATGGCTGGTTTGGTATATTGAGTTTGGTGTTCGAATTTTACCTTTGTTGGAACTAAAAGAGAGATTGTAAGTAAAATTCGAAATATAAAAAAATAGCATTTATGCACTACTTTAAAACTATGTTGTTTACTTAATGAAAAATAAAAAAAATTGCGCGATAAGTGCAATAGGTTGAAATATTCGACGATGACGTGTAGGACTCGGTAGCTCAATTGGTTAGAGAAACACGGAATGATGTGGATATAAGTTCCGCCCGTGTCGTAATTGTTTAAATCTAAAATTGATTTTTGAAGACAAGAATCTACGTAAATTATTTTTATACTGTTTTTTTATTCTTACGTTACAAGAATTGTCTATTTCATGTAAATTAAAACGAAAACTGATAATTGCAAGAGGAGAATATTTCGCGTTTTAATTAGAAGTAATAAGAAGCGAAGTCAAAGCAACAAGAATCTAGGTAAATTATTTTTACACGGCATAGTTTTTTTTATTCTTAGCGTTAACTTAGCAATCTAGATTTATATTTCATATGGATGGTATTATACTTGCACAAGACCCATGCTAGTATATCCTCTACAAAAACATAAAACACGTATAACGGTTTAATTCCTTACCTTAAAAAATATTACGTAAAAAGAATTGAGTAACAGAGGAAGTTAAAAAGTGAATTGAAAAACTGAAATATTTGAAATATAGTTTCTATGTCAACGAATTTTAAAATCAGTAGTAATTTCACATTTGAATTTCGAATTGTAACATGCACTTCCATTTTGCATGAGCACATCGTAACCTTTTCATTTTGCATGTAATAATGCATAGTAATCGAATTCTTTGTAATTTCATACTCGCTCTTAGGGTTGCCACTTGATGTAAATAATGTTATATTATTATGTACGATTAACAAAAAAAGTCCCTACGTCGGTAATGGGACACAAATAAATAAAATAACCTTATTCAAGGTGGTTTTAATTCTATAAAAGGGGGGTTTTCCTCCAACCCCCTGTTCCCTTATGCCGGCAAGGGTTTTCCCAAAAAATTTTAAAAAAAAAAAAACCCCCCCCCCCCGGGGGGGGGGGGGGGGGGGGGGGGGCCCCCGGGGGGGTGTTTTTGTCCCCCGGGGGGGGGTTTTCCCCCCGATTTTTTTTTTCCCCCCCCCCCCCCCCCCCCCCCGGGGAAAACCCCCCCCCCCGGGGGGGGGGTTTTTTTAAACCCCCCCCCAATTTTTCCCCCCCCCAAAACACATTTGGGGTTTTCCCCCCCCCCGGGGGGGCTCTTTTTTTTTTTGGTTTTTTTTTTTTTTTTTTTTTTTCTCCCCCCCCCCCCCCCCCCGGAAAGAAAAGGGGGGGGGGGGTTCCCCCCCCCCCCCTTTTTTTTTTTTTTTCTCCCCCCCCCCCCCCCCCCCCCCCGCCCCCCCAAAAAAAAATTTTTTTTTTTTTTTTTTTTTAAAAAAGGGGGGGGGGGGGGGGTTTTTTTTTTTTTTTTTTTTTTTTTTTTCTTCTCCCCCCCCCCCCCTTTTTTTTTTTTTTTTTTTTTTTTTTCCCCCCCCCCCCCCCCCCCCCCCCCCCCCCCCCCCCCCCCCCCCCCCCCCCCCCCAAAAAAAAAAGGGACCCCCCCCCCCCCCCCCCGGGGGGGGTTTTTTTTTTTTTTTTCCCCCCCCCAAAAAAAAAATATTATTATTACCCGGCGAAAAAAAAACCCAACCCAAAACCCCCCCCCTTTTTTTTTTTTTTTTTTTTTTTTTTTTTTTTTTTTTTTTTTTTTTTTTTTTTTTTTTTTTTTTTTTTTTTTTTTTTTTTTTTTTTTTTTTTTTTTTTTTTTTTTTTTTTTTTTTTTTTTTTTTTTTTTTTTTTTTTTTTTTTTTTTTTTTTTTTTTTTTTTTTTTTTTTTTTTTTTTTTTTTTTTTTTTTTTTTTTAAATAAATAAAATAATGTCATAAGCAAATAGTATATTTGAGTATTTTATAAGACTTCCATGCCCCGCAAAAAAAAAAATTTTATCCTAGATTCAAACCTCTTAACGTAATGCTAGCCTATGCATTTGACCATAAATAGCAAAGACAATGTTACGATTATCATATTAATTTATTATACTATACCGTGTTTTATTTTATAAATTGTAAATAAATAATGTATTCCCAATAACACAAATTTCAAGCAAAGGATAGTTGTTTTGAAGGAAATATGTTTTCGAGTTACGAAGTTTAGATACTAACTACTAATTCTAAATATCGTGTATTTAGGATATCAGAGAAAGAGTTGTCATTTTTTGCCCTAATAAATAAATAATTCAATGAAGTAATCGAGATTCCACTTATTTAAATTATTTATAAGTTTGATTACACGAATTTCGTTTGTTGAAACTATTCGGTTAGACGAATATTTGAGTTTAGGATATCTGTTTCTGATAAGTTAGTGATTATTTTCTACGATTTTATCGTATTATAGAAGTATATTATATACTAATTTAACTTAGGAATATTTATTTGAGAATAAATATTTTCCTTCGAGTTATAAATTGGTAGCCCTACCCAATTAGGGATATTTAAAGACACGTGGTGTCACGTGCCGCTAGTTAACCCTTATTGTGTCATCTCTCACGTTTTGCAATTGGACAGCTAAATTGCTGATCCCAAGTTTTTGCATGATTAAGTTTTTAATAAAAGCTTCAACGGAAACTGTTAATAAGCACGTGTGAATAGAGGATTTTATATTACAAATGTGATGAAAGTTGTATGTTATTCTTTAGCTAATATATTATTGACCACGGCTGCTGCAAAGCATCCGAAACATTGGGCCATATGTTTAAATAAGATATATCGCGTTTTAAGCCGTCAAAGTGTTTTATTTAAAGATAGTACTAGAACATAAAAATATTAAAATGTGTGTATAATCCCGTTTCCCCATGTGGCGCTTGAGGCGAACATATTTCTGTGACCGATTTTGTGTACAGACAAACAGTTGGTTAGACTTTTGCGCCCTGTCCGACCAAAACAATTTGATAGTCCCCGGGATTCGAACCCAGCACCTCTCGCGCTTAATGCAATTATAGGCAACACGTTTATACATTTAGCTACAGAGGCGGATTGTATTTGAATACAGTTACAGTGAAAAAAGTTAATACTTTGTAATTTATAATATGTATGAAGACTTTAATATTTTTCACATGTTATTACACATGAAGATAGTGCCTTCATGTGTAATAACATGTAAAAATCGAGAATACATTGTATAATTTTCGACTCGGGTTCCTACCCGAACTTGAACCGGTACGAATTGACTCGGTAGCTCAAGTCGAAAATGTTTTTTAATTTATTTTCGATTTTTAAATTTATAATATGTGCAATAACAAGCTACGTGTGTTTATTTGGGCATTACAGTAACAATAGCACGAAGAAATATTAATAGTAGTTAGAAGTAGTGTTTAGAGCTACCAGCCGTTGGTCAATCTTTACTATTCTAATCTTTTTATATTTATTTATTTGGTGTCCATTCGAAATACATGTTTAAAAAAAATCCTACAAAAAATTTATATATTAGTCTATATATACAATGTATAACTATTACAAATACTAATCTTACCTTCAGTAAGGTAGAGGCACGAGAAGAAGAAGAAATACGAATCTATATCAATAACTCAATCATAAATTTAATTAATTAAGACAAAATAAAAAGCTTTATTAATGTGTTGAACAACAACTTTCAAGCTTCCGGTCCACAGTAGATTCCAGCGAATAAATCTTCAGTTTTCGTAAAGTCAGACATGTCGTACTGCAGTCCGATTTCGAAGTAAAACGGTCTATCGGCCATTGCTTCCAGTCTTGGAGGTATCTTATTTATTAAGGCAGCTCTAGCGAAATTCTCAAAACCTAGAAATTTGTCTTGAAATTAATACGGTCTTAAACTGTCTGTGGGTTACTCGCACATATTGAAATAAAACTCCTCCGGTCGAGTCGGTCGTAAAACCGGGGTCACGGGGAGAATCCTTTACCCGGTGGTCTTTCCGTGACCACGGTTGCTGCAAAGCATTCGAAATGTCGGGCCGGAGAGAGAGAGCGCGGGAGATTAATGGGATAATAGAAGTTCACGAACTACCACAGATAAAAAAGCTGTATTAATGTTTATTTTTTATTAGATTTATTTGGGAAATTAAAATCGAGTTGCCTGTAAATAAATCATACGTATGCTTGTGTCCGTCTCAGTGATCAATCACTGAGACGGACACAAGCATACGTTTGCCCCATGCCCCAGAGGGGACAACGGAATTTTACTATTTGCAGCAAATATTATAGTTATATTGTAGGAAAAAAATAAAATCTTACAGGAGGTGGTAAGTTTATAAAATATGTCTCTAAACTTTACATACCTGCTGGTGTGACAACCCGAAAAGCGCCCATTTCATTAAAATCAATAAAGTTTTTTTGCTTAACTTTACTTAAATGTACGTGTTTTTTTAAGATGTTATCTTTTAAAATGCCATCTAGTCCCGCATTATTTGTCTCAAATAATGTTGACAGGCCGAACTAGAATAAAAAATAAGTTATTTACATAAGTATGTAAAAAGAGGCTGATCTATAAAGATGTTGTTGTTTAAAGATGGTGCCTACATATAAATGTTTATTTGGTTTCATTGTATTAAGGCATAATTGTGAGGCGTGAAATATACTATTGATTGCAATCTGTAGTTTTCCGATAGTACAAAATCAAAATCGGTTGACAGTGCATTTGCTTACGTGTTTTCACTTTTTTTCACTTTTAGATATACTACGAATATAGCTTCAATGAATTAGTATAATTTCCAAAAAAAAATAAATTATTACTTTTTTTTATTTTTAAGGGATACCTGAGTATTATATTATTTTATTGACCAGTAATTAATGTATACTGAACTCATACTATATAAAATCAAAATCTCCACAGGATATGAACCAACGACTACAGACTATCGACTGTAGCTCTTGTGGTTGAGCTATGGCCGAAGCTATAGGGCCAGTAAGATAAAATATAGTATATAATACCATTTTTAGGGATTCAGTCCAGTCCACTAGAGTTTTTATTTTAAATCTTGGAATCGCAACATGTATATATTCTTGTCGCATTCTTTTTTTTACTGTTTTGAGGAAATTGGGAGCTCTCAAGTTTTTGAGAAAGTCATCGAAACTTCTCTTGTCTTCTGGTATCACGATAGTAAAATACGCCCCATAGCTTGCAAGTTTCAAACTCACCACCTGAAAAATAATTGGATTCATGTAGAAAAAAACAATTTAATGGATTCAGGAAGTCAAGAAGTTTAAAATTATCAGTGAAAAAATAAGTACGTATTCCCACGTACAATAACATCTTGATTTTTTTACATGCTGAAATGTCCCAGCCATATTATATCATTTAACTAATATGCGCTTGCGATCCATTTTAATCATGAAAAATTATATTAATGTCTAACGGTTGACATGTTTATAGATTTTTCTTGGTCAGTTGTAGAGTAAACTGGACTGCAAATTACAAGATCTCAAATTCGATTCTCGGGACCTAGTATTTGAAGGTAAACAAATTTAGTATCAAACTGTACTTTTCAAAGTCCAATTACATCCTCGAAGAGCAGCACATCAGCAGTTCATCATGTTTATCATCAGCAAGTCGCCAGCACAATGTTTCTATGGCCTGTAAATATTTCTTCAGTAAAGAGTCCAGCTGTGGGGCTGGAATTAACAGGTTGAAAAGTACCTTCACTTTATTCAAATCATCATGTACAAATAACATATGTTCCTTCTTATGCATTATTGGTATCATAACAGTTGTACCGTCATACTTGATAAATTTCGTGTATTTAGTAAGATGAACATCGAACGGATCTTCCCATGTTGCCTGAGAAATATATGAATGGCATTAAATTAAAACCAAGAGAGTCCGTTTATACAAACCAGTTCAGATTTACAAAGGATGTCCTGCTTAGCGCAGTACGTCTACAACTGAGCAAGTGGGGGCATAAAACTAGCAAGTAGTACACATTTAATAAAAACAATATTAGCGGTTTAAGCCGCGAAATTAATTAGTAAACATATATTTTTTATTTAACTATGGTCGACCTTCAGATGGAGGGTGTTCCTAATGTCAAAACTGCTAAGCTGGCGCTATCAGTTTGGTAATTGGTATTTGGAGAAACTGATTGGGTGGGTAGAAAAAAGTTCTGTAATATATTTAGCATTTTAAACCGTTAACATTGTTTTATTTAAATATTATGAAGGCTTTTCGTGGTGAATATAATGCTATAGAAAATCTGGCAAGCAAGGCTTACTAAGTTTAAGACTCGTCGAATAACATATTTAAATTTATCCGAATATATAACAAGAATAAACAAAATAAATACATATGTTCAGTTTAAATAAAACACTTTAACGGTTTAAAACGCGATATATTAGTTAAACTTATTTGGAAATGATTTTTAACTTCGTCTCCCCGTGACCACGGGTGCCTGCAAAGCATCGAAACGTCGGGCCGAAGTTAAAAATCATTTCCAAATAAGTTTAACTAATATATCGCGTTTTAAACCGTTAAAGTGTTTTATTTAAATGTGTACTACTCGCGTAAACTATAGAAAGTATACATATGTTCAGTGTTATATTAGCATATATAATAAAAAAAAATACTTTAAGATAGGCTCCATTGACAAGCAACATAGTCGTGTCCGTTGTGATGTCGCCCTTTATTAAAACATCAGTAAGACGCTTTAAAGTCATCTGGCCGATCTGAAATATAAAGAAAACTAATTAAGTAAACTACAACCCAAACAAAAAAAACGTTTTAAATTAAAAATCACAATTGGATCAACTGATACTAGGGGAATTAACGGGCTCCACACTGTTTCTTGCTGTTACACTAAACTATCTTGTCTTACAAGTCATCGTCGAATATCCTCCACAGTTTGACACATGCACACTTCTCGCAAAATAATTCGCGTAATTTTTTTATCTAAGAATCACTATTTTAACAAAGCAATGGAACCTGCCCCCCTTTTTTATTTTGCTAAATATCCCTTCGTAAATAGTTTGTACACAATATTATAATAATAATTTAAGCTTACTTGTCTTCTGAATAATTAAATGTTTCTATGTAGCTTCTGTTTTTACAGTCCCAAATTTTCGTGATATTGTCCAATGACATTGACATGGATTTTGACCATTTTAATTGTGAAAAAAATAAAATTTCTTGAGATAGTAAAGAAAAATATTACTTACTACTTTATTTATATACGCAGTAGCTGCACCAGGGTAGTTAAAACTGACTTTATCCACTTGTACCCCGTAGGTAGGTGCTAAAAACGAAGATTTGAAACCGTCGGAGTAATTTACATATATTTTATTGAACATATTAAAATCTATGCGATTCAAAAGTCGCAACGGTTCCACCAAGACTTCGTAACTGGAATTTATCTGTAAGTTAACAGAGTGAAGATTTCATACTAAGAAATTATTTTCATAAAAATACATATTGAACATATATTATGTCAGTCTGTTTATTTTTTATAATAAAAAAAAGAAACCTATTTAGATGGAAATAAATTTTATTCCATTCAATAACATGGTTAACATGCTTAGCATTGCATAAAACGCGAGAGATCCTGGGTTCGAATCCCGTGGAAACGATAAATTCTCACTGCCGCAGAAGTCTGACATCGACTTGCCTGTAAATAAAACCGATTAGCGGCAAGGACACAAAAATGTGTTCGCCCCATACTCCACGGAAAAATGGGATTTTACTTTTACAGTCGTTGTTGGTGTAGTATTAGCAAACTGGTTTACAGAGTTATAAGTACAAAATTTGAATCCACAACGGGGCAAAATGGTGGCTAGCTTTGCACTCTAAATTTCACTATGAAACCATTTTTAAATCAGTAAGATAGAGACTTCGGTCATCAGTAAGTGGCAGTAGATGTCAAAGCCCACCAATTTACAACAAACGATGTGGTGGGTCTTACGTATGAAAATATACTAGGCGAGAGGAAAACAGTACCAAGTAGTGTAACAATAAATGGTTAAAACTATATAAGTTCGTAGCTCACATACCATGCCACCATTTTGGATACCAAGCGCGGAAAATAAGTCTTTCTTGGCTTCTCCTTGGGCGATAGATGCTAACTTCAGAAGTGGCAAGCGAAGACTCAGTGGTGACAGAACCAGGCTTTTATTTATATGTAGGAATAGTTTATCCTAAAAAAAAACAATTTGAAATACTGTCTGTAGTTTACGCGAGTAATACAAATTTAAATAAAACACTTTAACGGTTTAAAACGCGTATTTTAAACTTATTTCAAAATATTTGAACAAATATAAATCGCGTTTTAAACCGTTAAACTATTTTGTTTAAATCAAATTTAATTAATTATAATTCGTTTCAGAAATAAATCTTTTTAAAATGTTTACTACTAGTGTTTTATCACTTACAGCAAGTAAGATGTGTCTAAAATTATTTGCTTTACTCGTAGCACTAAATGAAACGGAGAAAAACGAAATTATTTTTGCTGAAATTAAAGGTATCTGTGAAATTACGATGCAGCAAAAATATAACACGCAGCTGATGTGATTAATATTCGTACTTATAATTAAAAAATTCATTTCCGATAATGTCGGAATGTTAACCTTATCACGCAATGGAAAACCACCTAAAAATATTACAGCACTAAATGTGAAGTCGATATTTCTTTCATACGACGCGTATATACATTACGCTACAAGCCAATTAAAAATCATTAACTGCCTTCGTGGCTTAACCATTTCATTAATCAAAAGTGATTCTAGATTCGAATTCCGGGAATAAAGAGAACATAAGATAAACTAAATGTCACATAAGTTGACAAGACAATTAGAGGAACAATCAGTTAACTAGTATCCGATATAGCCCAGCGCTGTCGCCCTAGACTGTCTTAAAATTTCTGGGCTCGTTGGTAGTAGCAATGTATGTCTAACAATCATCGTGTCTAATATTCATGAATAAGCCGTGAAGCTGAATCGCGTTTCGGTTTCAGTCTGTAGATTTCCAAATATCGGAAGGTAGACAGAGCATCATTAAAAAAACATGCAGAAATCTAATGCCTAAAGCGGCAACTTTATACGAATATACATGTAGATTATTTTTACTGTAGAATATTTTAAAAACGTTCATTTTTGTACATTTAAAGGGTAAGCGATTTGAACAATCAGGTTTCAGACGAAAATATTCATCGATAAAGATTTCCTGAGCGAGGGTACGGAGGCGTATCTACGGCTATAATGGACTTGTTAAAGACAATATTCTTGGAAACATATTGGATGCAGCTCAACGAATGTGTAAGCGAGCGCGCGACTAACTTAAAGCTTGCAGCACATCTGGTACAAACATATTTTTAGCAGACTAGCTCTGCCTGCGACTCTGTCCGCGTACAACATATATTTTGGTCATCAAAATAGGATTTCGAAAACCTCCACATCATTCCTCCTTATTAAAAACCGAAATGAACTGTGGCTGACATTTTTTGAATCATTTAAAGATGAATCATTCCCTTTTAAATGTTTTTTGGGTACCTTAAATGATTTTCGCAGCGCACAGAACGGAAACCCTCAATCGTGAATAATTTTCCCCGTTGTTCCAAATTTTTCAATTCGAACCAGTAGTTCCTGAGATCTGAAAACTGTATTTAATTTTAATAATAAAATTTTGCTTATGGGTCTAATAATAGCGATTTACTTGTCATGAGTTCGATCTCCACGGGTTCCAATATATTTCGAATTTATAATCTCGTATATTTCATTTTTTGAAACATGTTCGACATGGTTTAGACTATGGTAATTAGGAATTAGATGGGTGATAGATATATCGGGTGACGTGACGACAAATGAAAACAAAGTGAATTTTCGCGTTTCAGTAAATACAAACAAAACTTAATTTGATATTAGGACCGAAAATGGAGGGTCATTTTCGGTCTCACGGTCACCAAACCTGCTTCAGAGTATTAGAAACATTGGATCGTAGTTAACGTAAATTAAAAGTAAGTTAGCCTATATTTCTTGATAAAAATCGTTTTATTTGAATATGACACATTTAGTAAGATATGACGAATTCACCATTAACTAAAATGGCGTAGTAGATACGAATTAAACCCGAATTCAAATCTTTGGCGAATCATTCTAACCGTTTAAAAAAACCAAAGTCGAAATTTAAAAATAAAAAATGTCTAACTCCACTCTTCAATTCTTATAAAGAAACTTTGTATAAGGTATAAAAATGATGATGAAAAGAAACCATAAAAGAAAAAAATGGGCTTGGTGTGTCTAAGCCCTTACCGCGCGATAAATCCTCCGCTACATCTGGGCAGGCGCTCAATTCAATTTTATTACTATTCTGCGAGACTTATTTGATTCAGTCGTCAAAGCGATCGGAGACTTGGGTTACATTATCGCTTCAACACTAGACGTTGCCTGCTGCAGTGCGGAACGGGGGAATGAATAGGTAATTTTAAAATTGGTACGCGGTTCTCATAAAGATTTGAAAGTAGTTACTACAATTTCGTACATCACGTAAATATAAACTGCCTTCTTGACTCAAAGGTTCAACGCGTTGCTTAGCATTGCTTTGAGCATTAGAAGTTCTAGATTCGAATTCTTCCTTAGAAGTAATACTTTCGATCGTGGACGGCCGAGTTCAGCCCGTTTCTCATCAATTTATGATTTTTCTGAAACAAGTTTTAAATTCATCTGAAAATCTGGATATTAAATAGGTGGTAATATAAAAAGAGATATATCCTATCCAGGTCAAGCCGTCAACAAAACAAAAAAAAATATGTTAACCGCGTTTCAATCCGTGGATTTCGTGGAAGTCAAAAAAAGGTGGATAGTGCATCTTGTTGAGATGGTTAATGGTTGAGGTATCACCTGTCATATCAAGTGAACTTTATTCTCTTTAGTCCTCTATCATAAAAACAAATTGTAAAGTACTCGACTCGAAAAATTTGAACATAGAATTCAAAGCCACAAGACAAATAAGTGCTATTTTAAGTTAAGCAGGATTTCATCAGAGAATTCAGCAGCATGTAATTGAATGAATATTCAGGAATCTTAATCAATAGCGGCATTACTACAGAGGACCTACGAGCGTTCAGCGTGAAATTGGCGACGAAACGAAGGAGACAGCTATACAAATGTAGAACGCGATGGATAGAGACGGGAGCTCAGCGCGGTTTTATAAATCATTTTTCTCCGCACGGCAGCGATTTAGGACGTATGCAGACGCAAGACCTGAGCCATGTAATAAATTTTAATTTTTTGAATTTACTCTCTGCGAAAATTGCGTGTTTGCAATCTGTGGGGAATGCGAATTATGAATGCAATAAACTAGTTATTTATAGTGTATCTGTGGCGTTTATTACTTTTTCATTATGAGCGCTGATATTTTCCATGTGATTAATTTTGTTTGTTTTTTAATTGGTCTAGAGTCTAGACTCTGTGTATGCGTTGATCTACTTGGTTTGAGTTATCTATAACCTGTACTAATGTTATGAAGAGTTATTTTCTTTAAACGCGCTAATTTAATCATACTGGTCCGTGTAGAAAAATGTGTTAGGACCATTTATGGCGGAAACAGTTGGAAATATGGAAAAAACGTAGAAAATTATTGTCTGACCGAGAAAACGGCAAAAGTATGTATGTAAGAATTGTTCTTCTTAATATAATTTAGATTAGATTACCACGCGAGAACGGTTTTAAATGGTAATACAATTTAGTCGAAACAGTCCAAATAGTAAAAGAACGGCTAGTGATTATAAGAAAAAAACTTAAAATGTTTAATAGTATCAAATATAGCACACACGACTCTTACTTATAAAAATCACAGACATCAAACTAGAAATAGAAAAAATTTCCTATACCCAAGCGAAATAATTTCGGTAAAATTGGTATTATTAATATTCTTATTCTTAATAATAGTATTAGATTTAGGGGCCTAAACTATATAATGAAATGATGGCACTATAAAAACAAAAACAATAAGCAAATTTAAAAAACATATTTTAGATTATTATGTTCATTTTGTAGTTAAGTGAATGTGTAATAAATAGAGAAAATAAACTCTTTTAACTATACATAACCGATCAAAGCGATCAATTTATGTATTTTATACCTTACCTCTATACCACAATCCAACTTGTATAGACCAAAAAAAGATGTATGGCTATTAGTTATTAGGCCGTGGGTTTGATTTTCGCCGGGGTCAAAATGTTTAGGCAAACGCTTAGAATATATACAAAGTGTAAGTCGCGAATCCGTACACAGCCTTATGTAAAACGCTGATTCGCGATTATTTCTCGTTTCGTTTAGTTAATCAATTATTCTAATATTGT